ACTATATATTCGAATATACATAACAGAAAATTCAGATTAAAGGCTTCATTGATTAAATAATAATAAGGAAGTAGAGGTTACAGGTAGATAAGATGACCATACTTTCTTGACTAGAAGTCAGGTCACATGATCTGACAACATGACAAAACATTTATAATCAATTTTGTCCTAGAAATTTCAGGACCTGTATTATCTCTGTAAGAAACCAGGTGTTTTAGAAGTTTAAAAATTAAAATAAGCAAATTCACTTTACAAATTCAGAGGGCATTATCCCACTGAGGTAATGTTGAGATGTTAGATCATAAAAATTGGAAGGATCAGGGAATAGGACCCATAAGAAAGGTTGAGAAAATTGAAGTAAAGCTAAGAAATAATTACAGTCCCAAAGTTAGTGCCATCTTCCAAAGACAAAGCCAAAGGAAACCACAACAGAAGAATGAAATCTAGAACATTATTTTTAAACGTACAAAATGGTATGTGAAAAGTACTTCCTAAACTTTTGAGTGCTATGCAAATATTAATTATTAATTACTCCACAGAGTTCTTTTCAGAGTTCTTTTCATCTTGTAAGTCTTACTGCTCACCCAAGTTTTAAGAGGCCTTCAAGGTGTGGCACTATGTTTTATACATTTTGTATGGCTAGCACGGTCCTCAGCTCAAAACATTGCTTTCTTCAGCAATAATTATTGTCTGGTGAGAAGGTAATCTCATATATTAAATTTAACCTCAAATTCCTTTCAGCTTAAAAACAAATTATCTTTTACGTTGCCTTTATTTTCTTCATTGCTATCATTATACTGAGTAGAGTTTATTTCCATCCATCTGTCCTCATGCTTTGTATTTCAGGACAGACGGACTAATGCCACTCTGATCATTCACATTCTTTTTTCTGTTGAGTAGTGAATATGTTGATCTGGCATCAAAGAGAATATTACAATCTCTGTGAATGACACAGTTTCAGACCAACCTAATTCATGCTAAATTGCCATCATTTCTTCCTAAAATTTTCTTAGGAATTTATCAAAAGGTATCTATATTGAAAATATCATCTACCTTTTATCCTTCTGGTCAAAACTAGTTTAATCAGGAAGATTATATTGAAGAAAAATAAGTCAGATGTTAACTGTGTTATTTTTAAAGTACTCATTTAGCTCAAATCTTGCAAGCAACTAATTCTTTTTGGTTTCTTTATTCTTAGTTCCAAAATAGTAGGTTTCCTGGGCAGTTTTCCTAT